CGTGTGCCGCCGCCCGGTAGGTGAACCTTTCACGGGCGTTCGGCCGCTCCTTTGTAGCCTTGGCTGTGCCCCCCCGGGGGGCCTGGGGCGTTGAGGGGTGCCTTATCAGTGACCCCCCCCAGCCTGGGGGTGCTCTGCAGCTGTCTGCCACCTCGTACCGAGCTGTCCAGACTTACTATTATTTCTTCAGAATTTATAACTCTTAGTATTTTATATTTTTTTGTAAGTAACTGAATGGCTGTAGCAGGCCCTGCGTCGGGAGTGTGCTCTGACAGTTGGGTTTTGTGAGCCGGGCTGCAGCTGAACCTCTGCCTTAGATGCCCTTAGGAACTTGTGAGTGAGTTGTGGTGCCGTCTTCACGGATAAACTGCTGTTTCAGATGCACTTAAGGTCTTTGCTAAATTCAGGTAGGCTGTCTCGGAGTAAAAGGTGTGATATAACTAAATTTAAGTCATCTGCTATGCAATATATGGTCTTTCTGGGTTTCAACCCAATTAGTAATGCACCAGTATGATGATTACTCTTTCTGAAATCTCAAAGATGACTTGCTGTCAAAAAACAGGTTAAAATACCCCCCAAAAAATCTGTGCTATTAGCTCATTTTCAAACTCTGTCCCTTTCTTCAACTTTTAAAATACTATATCAAAGTGCAGTTTCAGAACATAAATTAAACTGTACTGTGGAAGACTGGTATCAGTTTATTCACTGAGTTTCTTAGGGATTTTGATTTTTGTTGTCCGTAGTAACATTTTACGATGCTAAAATGATCATATGTGGAGTTACAACTTTAAGTGATCCTGTTTAGATCCTACTTGAAAAACTGCAAAGGCATCCTTAACAGCAGACTTTAAGCTCTCCCTTGCACGTTGTGTTTTCAGACTTCAGTGTGGCTGGGGTGCAGGGTTGGTGCAGTTTGCCTGGACAGAGGTTTCTTTCCCAGCTCTGGCTGACAGCACCCATCCAGGCGCAGCACAGTGTGTTTCCAGTTGCTGCAAGAGTTATTAGCTCGAGTGTCACTGGTTTCTGTTTCCTAATTATTCCATAAAGGTATTTAAAATTGTCTCTAAAAGCCTGATATCCTCTCTTATCTAAAGTTTCACAGACTTTGGAAGTAAGAGCTATTCTAACTGCTTTAGAAGGGAAATGATGAATTTTTAGCTAGAAGAATGCAGGTGGAGTATAGGGGGGAAAAATTTCCTTTTTTTCAGAATATAAAAGAAGTAAGTGTGAGTGTGTTTGCTTGCTTGTCCTTGCTGTCAGTGATGTTCCCTTCAGGAGGCTGGCTCAGGGTGTTACCAAAGCCACTGGGTGAGAATTCCACATCCCCATGGTCAGAAGTGGTTCCGGTAAGCAAACCCATCTCCTTGGGCTTACAGGGCTCCACGGGAGTTACTGAAGGATACTTTGCTGTAACACTAGCCAGAGTCGTTGGTGACATTTTGAAGTGATAACCGTCTGTTGTTGAGGTGATGCTAGAAAATTAAGTTTCCTGTTTCTGTTAAGGAGGCAGAAGTAAGCTGGTGATGTCTGTAAAAATAGTTGGTATCAAGTGATTGTCTTGTGTCCAGTACAATTTTTCATGAAAAGCTTGTGTCTGCTTGCAGCTGATTATTTTCAAGGGAATGATTGAAGTAACCTTAAAATAGTATTTTTGTCTTCATCGTGGCTTGTGAACAGTGATTGCCAGAGTTTTCATTGTTCTACTTTCATGGTGTTTTTAACACGAGCCTGAGAGTTTGAGTCTGTGTATATTGAACAGCCTCAGCTTCCCCCTCAGTTCAATGTGGCTCGGACCTGTTAGCAGCTAACAACTCTTGATGCCAATGCAGAGACGCTATGGCTTTTCAATGCTTTGATTTGACACTGCTGTGAATTCTGTAGTTACTTTTCTTATGTGATAAGAGGAGATTTAATATATATTCAAATATTACCAATGTGCCTTTAAAATTAGCTGCCCATTTTTTCCCCATTTTAAAAGTATTTTCCTTTAAGCGCTGCCAGCTCATATGGGGACTGTTCTGGGTGTGTTTGGATAGCACTGTTTGTAATGCCACTTTTCTTGTGGTGATGAAAATTTAACCTATATTAATGCCACATCAGCTGTGTTTGCAGAGTAATCCTGTCCTCACTTTGGTCATTTGAATCTTAAAGTCTTTTCTGTAATGCGTACAGATTTTATTTTGTTGTTGTTTTATCGATAAGTTTAATAGAAGGAAAAGCTTAATACAGCTAAATGCTGTGAAGTTATTCCCACCTCAGTAATCTGAGCACTTCTCTTACATCACACTGTTTGCCCTGATTTGCAGGTTATTTGAGTTGATCGTTTTTCTAAGCCCCACAGAGGCTTTTCTCGATCGGCATTTTGCTCAAGCAATAAATAAATCTGCTGACGTGTGTGTTCTGCCGTGTTTGCTTATTCTTGACCTTTGCCTTTTAGCCACGCAAGGGACAGTTTCAGTCGTGACGTGGTGTAGCTGGGTGTTTATGCGTCGACAAGTGTATTTGATTTGTATTAAAATTTGTGCCATGTGGCAGTTGTTCAGAGTAACGGAGGGCGTGAGTAAGGGTTTCGTGATTAGTCATGGATAAACCAAGACTCTAGTGCTTCGTCATCTGAGCAGATTTTGTTCCAGTGCAAGCAAACATGATGAAAATACTCTTTCCTAATCTTTCTGCGTTACCTTTCTATGATACACATATTGCTGTGTAGGGGAGAAACTGTGTTCCTTGTCACAAGTGTCATTGCTATGACGGATGCCTGGATTTTGGTCTGGTTGTGACCTGTGTTTTGACTACTGTGTGCTGTGCTCCAGGGTCAGAGCTGCCCTAAAGTCATCTCGTGACCCCAAAGGCACCGCTGAAATGAGGGCGGCAGGACAGCCCACAGCAGCGTGGATGCCTCTGCCAGCCGCGCTTAGCCGTGCAGTCCAGTTTCCCGAGGACAGCCGGGCTCCAACGTCCCCTGACGTCAGCAGGGGTTATGCTCTCCAGTAGGAATTAGCTGGCTAAGTGCTTGTAAGGATGTTGCCCTTTAGTCTTTTGGGAGGTTTTCATGCTAGATGCTCATTTGCTGTGTCAAACTGGTGCTTTCAGTGTGATTATCCTCACTTTAAATAATGAGGAAATTAAGATGAAAACTGAGAAATTAATTGCTCATGGCTGCACGGTGATGGCTTCATTCTTGCACCCCAAAGCATCGCTTTGGCAGTGGTGGTGGTTCCTCCTCTGTGCTACCTGTCCCCCTGGGCACTCAAGGAGGGCCAGAGCTCCCCCAGCACCTCTGTCGTGGCTGCTTGTTCAGAAGCAGCACTGCCTTTGGTGGCAGAGGGTTTTTTCTGGGGCAGGAAGAACTGAATTCATCAGTCTGTGCAATCCACCCTGGCCCATTCTTTCTTTCCCAGGAACGAGCATAGCAACTGTATATTTTTTGAACCATGCCACAAAGAAGGGGTAGTCGTGGAGTAGCAGAGCTTCATCCTGGTAGCCAGGGGTGTCCTGCCTGTGGCAGTCAGCTGAAGTTGGCTGGTGGTTGTATGGCACAACAGGAGCGTTGATTATAGTCATCCTCGCTGCTCTCAGCTCAGCCTTCTGTTCTTGACTCTGAGCTGAAGGAATTCAGTGGGAAACATGGAGTTATTTTTTAAACATAAGTTTTGCATTTCAATTTTACACTGGGGCAGCCTCTGCAGGACAGTATAGGAGGTCACAGTCTTTGAATGGCAATTCCAGCACTTTGCTATAAGTAGTTATTTCCCATTACAAGCCAAACAAGCAGGTTCTGTGCAGACAATTGGGATTTAATTGGTGTCAAACTTCTCGGGGTTCAACTTCACAAAATTTCTTCACCTCATATCGCCTTTCCTCGAAACCCCAGCAGCTCCCAAGGGCAGCTGGAGCACAGACTCTGCGCTGACATCCCTCTCTTCCCCTCTCTGAAAGTGCCACTTCTTCCCAGTTGAAAAGTTTATGTGAAGATCCCGTTTGAAATCTTTGATGGAACATCACCCACCTCCACCAAACTGTACTTCAGATAAAAATAATTTTACTTCTTGCAAAGACTTATGTCCAGGTAGCATTTTCCAAGGGGGGAAAGGTCTTTGCTGTTGTATCACAAGGTCTGGATTCTGTTTTCCATTTCTACACTAATTTTTTAGTGTGTTGTGGGGTCACTTAATTGATCCATGATACAGTTTACCAAAACTAAATTGTTTTTTATTTTTCACCTGGGACTTTGAATTACTTTTGTTCCCTATAAGTATCTTACAATGTTTAATGTGCTGTTCTGACAGATCTTAAACCTTATATTTTCTGTTTATTTCAGACCATAAGATTCAGATATGTCCTTCATATTTGATTGGATTTACAGTGGTTTCAGTAGCGTATTACAGTTTTTAGGTAAGTTTTGATTGTTTGGAGTTTTTTCTTTCTGCTATTCTTGTATAAATGTCAGATCACCTCTGTTATCTTCAAGCGTAGCCGCTGGTTAAATAATAATATTTGTTTTGGTGTATATTCAGTAACACTCAAACAAAAGTTTTGCTTATCTATACTAAGTATTTCCAGAGTGTGCTCTGCGCTCAATCTTGCATTAATCCTTTGACCTCTCGAAAAAATGGCATTTTCTTTCATGAACATAAGAGGTTGGATTTTTCTAATCATACTGTGTTTAAGCTGGCATAATTAGGTTGATTTATATGGAGTGGCTCCTGATTTTTCTCTGCTGTGAAGAACTGAACTCAATTATTGTAGTTCACTTCTTTTACACATGAGGATATCACTTGAGAATCCAAATATGAGGGAGTACCTACAAAAAATTAGGGCTGGGTATTGAAGCCTTTGCTTGTTTTCGGCGGCGTGTTATTCTGTGACTGGCATCACTGAAATCAATGTGAAACTTCACTGGCATCTGCTGAAGAGTCTCAGGAAAGTATTCCCTGGCTAAAAGAGTCTGCAATCCATATCAATCCCAGGGGAAGTATTAGCTTGTGCAAAACAGGAGTGGTGGTGGTGGGAACAGCACAAGGGGAGGAAAAAAACCAACCAGGAGGAAAAGGAAAGTCAGGATACTAAAAAAAAGGAACACAAGTTGCAGATTGATTTAAAAGTTCGAAGGATTTTATTGAAGTGGTTAAAAAACATTTGAGATTAAGGAATGATGGCAAGCTGTGCCACCTGCCTTTTACCAGTCGAAAGTTTAAACTTTTTCGCTGAATGTTAGACCCTTGGCCTACTATTGAAATATTAGCCAGTGAAATTTTAACTAGGTTGACTAACCTTTCTTATCTCCTCTTACTTAGCTGAGCAGTGGTTACTGCACGCTGTCCAGCTTTCCCATTCCTGTGCAAAGTCTAGTTCTAGCGAGAGATACTGGAGCTTGAAGTAGGAAGGAGAATTACATTCAATATGTCCCTCTCTTTCTAGGAGAAACGTTTCCTCTTTTCATTCTTATTTACATTTACAGTCGAAGGAGGCCAATTATACATTTGGGAAATTCCCTGCAGTCCCCTGTGTTGTCCTGTCAGCAGGCTGATAAGATCACTTTATGAAGTACATCTTTGCACACATATACTTTTAGAATGCACAAAGAATCTTTTTTATATATGTAAAAACCTCTGGTCTTGGTGTAGCTACTAGCTGAAGTATTGCTGCTTGTTTGTCTTGTGCTTCTGTGAAAGATGCTTGGGAAGCCTGAAACGTTTCAGAGAAATCAGCGGCACCTGATTTGGGAGCAAAGGCTCCTGGATGTCCAGGCTGAGAGTGGCAAAAATATTATTGTTTTCCTATGGTTTAGTAGAATTTTGTTTAACTCGTAAGTGTGAACTGGAGTTTCTCCTGTGACATAAGTAATATTATGAAAATGTTTGCCCACTCCTCCTTTCTCTGTAAATGTTAATACTTTCTCCTCCACTCTGTAGATTAATAGTTAATATATATTTGAGCGTGTGAGAAGGTGAGTTTAGGAAGTAAGAGCTGTATTGAAATAACTGTGAAGACACCTTATGATAACTGTAGTAATAAAGATCACTAATGAAATAAGCTGAGGAATGTGAAAGAATATTCATTCCTACAAGTTACAAAACACGTCCTGCTGGATTAGCTGAAAGGCAGAGGGAGAGGTGAGCAAACAGCAGCGGTGTAAAGGTCGGCCAGGCAGGGCCACGTACGCCCCTGTCCCGCTGCGCCATCGGCGGGGCTGTCCGAGCAGCCACAGCATCGCTTACAATCCCACCAAATAAAACCTGTAGGAGGATAATGTGTTTGCTAAGGAGCAAAAATGAGGGCTCCAGAAGCTAGAGTTACTGGCTCCTGCTGCCTCCCTCGCGTAGGGAGACCCTGGCTGGCTGCTCATGCGCCCTTTGGATGGCCACCAGCCCTTGCCCACGGCCCCGGGGCCGTCGGTGTGTGGTTTGCAGCGTTGAGTGTGCTCACAGGAGAAGGTGCAGTTAAATGGGGGGACTGCAGCGATGGGACAGTTGAGCTTTGACAATGAAGTCTGGTTGTGTGCTTCACAAAATGTTTCTGTACCATTGCAGTGGTCATAAAATAAACGTTTCTTCAGCACCATAATACTACGACATCATATAGTAAAAGATCCTGATGATATAAAAACCTCCCACATTGCAGTGTTTGACTGTATTTTGTAAGTCTTTTTATACAGGAAAAAAAAGAGAGAATTTTGTTAGGAACATAGCTCGCTTCTGCTTTTGAAGAAATGCAGTTTCAGCATATACATACATATATTTCCTCACCCTCTGGTGCAAGTGTTCTGCCCTCTTCAGCCCTCGTGAAGGCTGTGGGGTCAGTAATGGTCCCTAAGGGGATGTGCAGCATGTAGTATCCAGCCACAGGTCTTTGAAAATGGAATAAGGGAAGATTTTCTGCTTAAAAAAGGCAAAGTTAAGACATTCTTACTTCAGTTGGGTTTTTTTTCAGTACGGAAAGTGATTTCTTTTTTTTTTCCCCCTAATTTAATTTGTCTTAAAAATGTTTTACTTTGAGTGTCAATCAGTTTGAAGCAGTGAAAAATAATCCTGGCATAGGATGTAGTGTTGGCAAGTTATAAAAGTTATAAAATTGCCCTTTGATAATCTCAAACTTAAGAAAATATGGTATTCATGTTTTAATCATCTTTCCTCTCCTTCACAGCAACTGTTGCATTTACTGGGGTTGCAGGTAGTGGGGGAAAGAAAGGGGGGAGGAGGCTTTTTTATCAAGATGACAATCAGTGAAAATAAAGTTTCTTATCCCTGATATGAAAGCATTATCACATGACAGCAAGTGTGTCAGAACTGCCCTGATGATGCCATTCAGGATATGTCCGTTCAGTTTATCTGGGGGTATGGGTGAACGGTACTTTTTGTCAAAATGGCCTCCGAACCAATGTAACAGAATTCAGGCATGTACTCATGATGACTGTTGACATTGAAACCAGTTGCTCTGTGATATGCTGATTGAGGTCTGAACTTCCTTTGTGCCTCAGACAAGTGTTTTGTCACAATTGGAGGCAGCTGAACAGAACCCCCTCTGTTCAGGTCCAGGATGTCCATATTTTAGAGCCTGCTGTTATTGCTGTACCCACACACCCCCCTCTCCCCTGCCTGTGAGCAAATCTGTGCTTTTGCTGAGGGCAGAGTAAGTCACGCTGACAAAATTTAGCCGTGTTCTGCTGTGGTTTTCCTAAGGTAACATCAATACATTTACGTGAGTGACACGTTTACATCAGTTATGTGCCTCCCTTCTCCTGCTAAGCGTCCCCTAAGCTGCCCGTGGCACATGTAGGACAGTGGGTACATGAGCAAGTGTGGCTGCAGCCTGTACGAGCAGGAGAACCTGGATAAAGGGCGTTGATAAAGTGCTGGGGGAGCTTGGCTGGGCTGTATTTTGTACCGTGAGTGTAACCGTTTGTCCTGGGAGCAAAGTCATCTCTGGTGCTAGAAATGAACTCCCACCACTTTTAACTGGTTGTTCACTGGGTCCTTCTTTGTTCTAGGACTGTACAAGAAATCAGGCAAACTAGTGTTTCTTGGACTGGACAATGCTGGAAAAACTACACTGCTGCACATGCTCAAAGATGACAGACTGGGACAACACGTCCCCACGTTACACCCCAGTAAGTTAATATTGCTGGTTCCGTAGCTAGAAAGTATTTAAAGTGTGGCAGGAAAAGCAGGATCTGGTCATACAGACCAACAGTGTAATTGGGGAGAAACAAAGGAATTTCTGGGATTGCAATCTGTAGATGGTTCAAGTAATATCAAAAAAAAAAAATGTGTAGGATAGTTCAGTGTGGTATATTTAAAAGTAAGAGGTGAGTAACAAGCAGACTGATGGACCTGAGAGTGTAGATTACAGAAGCTGTGGGAAATCAAGGCTTGCAGTGTTTGGGCGTAGCTTCTCTGTGTAGCTGGAAAATTAGCATTTCTGTTCACTGTTTTGATTTTTTTGAGGGGGGGGCCTCAGAGGTTGCTGTGTAATTGTTATCCTGGTAGGCTCGCAAGAGAAAAAGTTCAACACAGGTTGAAAATGTGGATTGGTGAAGTCCTGTAAGGAGATGTGAAATTGGGAAAGGATGTGAAGAGGAGAAACCTGGAACAGTGCTGTACATGAAATGCCATCTTTGTGGCAAACCAGATGCCGGAGCCAACTGTTGTTTGTGTAATGTGTAGGAATAAATAATGTATGAATATTCTCTGCTATTCTTCTCATTGTAGATATTTCACATGTGTTTTAGTGGTTAATAGTGTTTTGTTGTTAAACAAATGTGTCATTGATTTTGAGAGAAAATGTATTAATCTTGATTTGTTTCTTGAATAACAAAACACTGAAAAGAACCAAGAGAAAGTAAAATTTACATGCTAGAAGGGTAGACTGTTCCAATGCACTGCAGAATCCTCACAGAGAACACAATTCTGTGTATTTCTAGCTTCAGAAGAGCTGACCATCGCTGGCATGACTTTCACTACCTTCGATCTGGGAGGGCATGCTCAAGGTAAGAGAATACATTGCCTCACTGAGCTAAGAGTTGTCCGGAGTCCGTTTGTTTCAGATCAGAAATAGGACCGTGCTGCAGAGATTGACTTCCCACACTGACAGCATGAAAACCCCTTTGCTGCTCTTCTGTCCATCTCCACCACTTACCACAATCCCAAATACAATTTGGCAAGAGTAGTAGTTCGTGTTTGCTGCAGACCAGTTCTGTGGTAGAGCAGCGATTTTTTTGACTGTTACCTGTATTTTGAAGAGGATTCTGTACTTTGAATCGCTTATGTTTACCTTTAAGCTTCAAACTTACCTTTGTTGACATAGTTCTTGGGGAAATATGAAAGGTTTCTGTACATCAGTGTGTATGTGAGATAGAGTGGGGGTAACAGTAAAGGGAACGATGCATTTGCTCCATTATTTCAAGTTTTGTAAAATGTGAAATTACATCCTGAAGACTGTCAGTATAAACTAAGACTTAAAAAAACCCTGTGGCTGCTTAATCGCTGCTGTGCATCGCTCTGAATTTTGGGATAATTTCCTTTTGTTTTTAATTCACATCTTCCCTGTAGCTCGCAGAGTGTGGAAAAACTATCTGCCTGCGATTAATGGCATTGTGTTCTTGGTGGACTGTGCAGATCATGAACGATTGCTTGAATCAAAAGAAGAACTTGATGTAAGTTTAAATAAGTTTTTGAAAGTTTTAACTTTAACTTCTAAGAAATAAGCTCAAATTCTCAGTATTCAACAGAGCTCTGCTGCCACCTGGACATGAGTAGTAGCCATTTGACCTTCTGTGTTCTAAATTAATCTCTCCTCCTTTCTCCTTTCCTTTGTAGTCACTAATGACAGATGAAACTATTGCTAATGTGCCTATCCTAATTCTTGGTAACAAGATTGACAGACCTGAAGCCATCAGCGAAGAGAGGTTACGAGAGATGTTTGGTTTGTATGGCCAGACAACAGGAAAGGTAACGCTCCTTTTGGTGGTTTTGTAGTTTGGGTTTTGTTTTTTTTTCATTAGGGGGTTTATTTGCCTTATGTTTGTGTGTTGACTCCAGTTCACTCCAGCTACACAAAATAAATTGTTTTTAATTTATAAAGTACTAATAAATGGTCCGTAATAACTGTATATGCTATGAATTCTGGAGTCTTTGTGTGTGTGTGTGCGTTAGGTGCATCTCTACTACAACTTTTTGATGTCATACTCAATGCCACGTTTTTTCAGAGAAAACTTAATTGTACTTAGGATAACTTTTGACGCTTCAGCCTTCCTATGCAGTATTTTTAAATGATGAGCAAGTTTTCACAGGCTATAGTTCTAGTGAGAACTGTAAGAGAAAACTGAATAAAGGCTTTCAGTAAGTGACTTTTCTCATTTAAAGTGCAGGCTTAGTAGAATTTGTACTTGTTCACCTAAAGCTTAGAAATAGGCTTACACCATCGTAGAAGTCTGAGTTTGTAGGTTGTGAGAGGAAAAAAAGTTCCTACTGGCATCTGTAACAAGAAGGCAGATTTCTGTTCTGGATCTTGGTGATACTTCAGCTCTTCTTAATTTAACATAAATACGGTGTTCTGCTGTAGGAGACATTTGGGTACAGGGCACTAGAAACAAGCTGCTCCGTTGTCCTTTGCCCTTGGAAAGGTGCTTCTCTGCAGCTGACAAAGCTGTTCTGGGGTGGCTTCTGTCCCGGCTCCCGTTAGATGACCAGCGCTGTGGCTCTGCTGGGGAGGGCACCTGGTCTTGTAAATCCTCTTGGCTTGTTTACTTGTAGGTGCTCCCCCGAAAGTTCAGTGCCAGGCAGTGTAGGTTGAGCAGGAACAAACCTTTACCTTCTAGTTCTCTGCATGAAGGAGAATCGCAGGGGTTAGTTTTAGAGTAGGTGTAATGGGCTATAAACAGTTAGTAATGCCTTTTTTTTTGTATCTTGCCCTGGTTTTTACCACACTGCACTAGTCTATGAAGGATGATGCCATTGTGAATCTCCAGCCGAGCAACGGCTTTATCACACTGTGCTGATCTTGGCAAGCAAGCCGCTTGCACTCTTGCTATGGTCAGTCCTACGATTGGTAGCAGATGCTTTTTTCAGTCTGCTTGGAAAGCTCTTAGGAACAGAGCAGGGAACTGTGACTGAAAACCAAGTACAAGCTTTCAGATTCTCTGTGCACGTCCTTGCTGTTGCGTCCTGGTTGTACTTCACCCTCTCCAGATGTGGATGCACGCTTTGTTTGTTTCTCAGGTGACCCTAATCTTAGTAATGTGTACACGTTTCGGATTATTTTCTAAAATTCCAGTATCCAACACAAGTTAAATCACGGCATTCCGTAGGAACAAATGTCCAGGTAAAGTAGCCTTGTAGCAGTGCTGTCACTTGGAATGCTGCTGTCTCTCCGCAGGGCAGCGTCCCCCTGAAAGAGCTGAATGCGAGGCCGCTGGAGGTGTTCATGTGCAGCGTGCTGAAGAGGCAAGGCTACGGAGAAGGCTTCCGCTGGATGGCACAGTACATCGATTAACGCCAAAACCGCCTCAGTACGTTCTGTCCCGTGTCTGAATATTAAGTCTGCTCCTTATTTGATCACTCAGTGTACGTAACTTGAATTCATTTGACTGTTTAGTTATCAAAATACACATTTTTAGCTAATTATATAATGTATGCAAAACTGTAAGTATGAGGATTGAAGAATTATTTCAAGCAAGTTTGTGAGTTGAAGTACCACACCTGTGAGCTTTCTAATCCCATGCAACATTCTTTTGCAGCTTTTAATTTAACGAGTCTCCGGCACCGTTTTTGGTCAGAGCAACTTTCCAGTACAGTATGTTTGAATGCACTTTTTAACAGCTAAAAACTACGAACATGTGAAAAATATTTAATGCTTATGTTAAATTTTTTTATGTACTTTTTTGAAACTGGTTTTATAACTTTAGAGTATATAACCATCTTTCAAGGAATAATAAATAATTAGCTGATGGATAATTGCATGATGCCTTACGGTTTTCAATAATATACTTTCTTATGCAACGTCATGCAATAAATCTAAATCCAGTTTTTGGCAACTTTAATGGAAAATGTTTCATTTTAATGTGTCTTAACTAGTGAGGCTGCCTGATGATCTGAATATGTGGGATATTTTCCTGAAACACAGAAGGCCACAAAGTAGTTTCATGGTATGTTAGGGTAAGGTGGTTTTTTTCAGACTACAAATTGCATTTATTTTAGGATTTTGCACTAGTAAAGGAAAAATCTAATCCGATGCCCTTATAACCACCACCATTAAAAAGTATAAGTCATATAAATCAGCTGTGCCAAGGTAAATCTTGAACTGATGTCAAAAGTGGTCTTACTCTACTGGTCTCTTGAATTAAACTCCTGAAGCAACATAAGATAGAGGGGTTTTTCTGAAGAAATTAAGAATACCATTGCACTAAATATTCTGTTCTTCATTAGATTTCGGGCCTGCCAGAAGATTTGTGTGTGAAATTGCCAGGAAAAAAAAAAAAACAACAACGCTGCCATTGCTGCTTGTGAAAATTTATCAGCCCACACTCAACTGGCCAATTTTATTTTTGGCCTTTTGAACTGGGACGGGATGGATTGTCTGTTCTGGTTTTGCCCTGAAGCCTCGCCAGTGTGGCAGCTGCTGGCTGCCCAAGTGGCTCATTGCTGGGGTAAATTTGGTTATCTGTAGTCCTTGTTTCCAGACTTGTGACTTCTTTTTTTCCCCGTCCCTGAGTGCAGTAGCTCCCCGAGGAGAAAGCAGGTTATTTTTGAAGAAAGGGTGTTGCAGCACGTGTGTCTGTCAGCGTCTTGTTGACGCTGTCTGACACTGCCATGGAGCTGTGGATGGTGCTCCCATGTGCTGGGGCTGTTTTACTGTCACCTGTCGAATGAGGGTAGGGTTTCAGCCCTGGAGTCACCATTTCACCATGGTGGCTTTGAGTTTCACTGTGTAGTTTGTTTTCCCCTTGCACAAGTACAAACTGCTGTGAGTGTTTTGACTGAATCCCTTTTACTCCCTGTTGTAGGTCTTCTCAAAAATACTTTAGGCCTTACGTGGCCAATCTCTGCATCAGCAAATGTGTTTCTGACTGGTTTGATTTCATAAATAACTTTTTTCTCTTGACCTGCTGGGCTTGAATCTCAGAATTAAAGCCTATAGGGTCATAGAAAATAAATGAGACTTATTCCTTGCCCAGATCTGAAGTTGTATGATTGAATATTGGTGATCAGTTCCCCACAGTCCTAGATTGTGCATCTGAATGAGGTGAATAATTCAGAACTTAAGTAATGTAAATTGTCACGGAGGTTTATTACCGCACAATTGTATGTGAAGTCTTAAGCCTGGTTCGTGCGTGGTGAAGGTCGGAGTGACGGCATAGGATAGCTTTTCCAAACGACCAACAGAAGAGAATCCTGTATTTAAACTAGTGCTCAGCTGTAAAGTAGTGTCTGCCAAAATCAAAACTGGAGCTAAGGAATGGCCTTCTCACCAGCATGTGGACAATATGTGAGTCTTTACTGCCTGTGTAGGGGTAGCCGTTACGTAGGGGACAGACTGCTTTTTTTTTTCCTCTACATTTTTCTGATGATGGTTATAGTGCAGAGAACAGCAGAAGGATCAGTAGTTGGTGTAAATATTAAAAAAATACTACTTGCAGAGTCACGTGGTGGTGTTGATGTGGGAGACTTGGGACTGTGTTGCCTGTGCTTATGGAAATGAAGCTGGAGGTGTTCTGCTGCAGACCGCTTCCACAGGCTGA